AATCGGGCGTCACGCTGACGATTTGCGTGGCCTCGCTGCCATTGGACCGCAAGTCGGCGAGCAGATTACAAGCGCTGATCCGGGATCTTTCCTCTCGGGCCGGGGAGAGCGTGCCACGCTCCGGTCGCGACTGGATCTTGGTTTTCAGGAACTTGGCTCAGACCACCGTCGACACAAGAAGAAGAAGAAGAAGAAGAAGAAGAAGAAGCAAGCGGTGCCGATGATCGCGCCCAAGCCTGCCAAAGTCCACGCGAGCTCTGAGAAGTAAAAGCCGAGGTCTCCTCTCCGACTCATCACAACGGGAGCATCTCACACTCAATTGGATTAAGGGGGGGGGGGGGCGGATTAGCCTGCCGGCCTGCCTGCAGATCACCTTGGCGATGCCAGAATAGGAACAAGATGGCCGCCCATCTGCCAGTCTCCCATCGATCGATCGCTGCGATCGGGCATCCGAACGGAGTCACCCAGAAAAAGTTCAGGGCCGACGCGATGACACTTTGGCGCCCTCGCCGACTTTTGAGCCGCTTCAGCTTTGCGCTTTGAGCGATTCCGTCGCCGAGAAATGAAGGCAGAAGGGCGGAGGCGCGAGTGCCGGCGCAGATCGCGTGACATCATCAACGTCACCTTTTGACTACTTTGCCACGTCGGGCTGCGCGCGCGCGCGCGCGCGGGGGTCTTTGAGCGAGTGGCGCATTGTTTGGAGTCGACATGAGCTCGCTTTGGAGCTTTGACGTTGATTCGTTCCTCTTTGAGCGGGCGCCGCGCGGCCCGATGAAGGCGTGACGTGACGAGGAAGCGTCGCGAGAGCCGGCGTCCGACCTCTCGCCTTTCCTTCGGGCCGCTGGCCGGGAGACGACATGGAGCTCAGCCGTCGCCGGGATGAGAGCGAAGCCGCCGCCGCGTCCGCGGTGAGCCCCGCCTCCTCCCTCGCGCTCCACCGCAGGCGCCGTCGATGTCGGTCGTGGCCGGCAAAGTCACGCTTGCCTCCTCTCCCCCTTCGGCGGCAGGCGTCGTGGCAACCGTCCGCGGACGGCGAGCGTCTCGTCGGCCGGATTTTGCTGGACAAGGGCGCCAGGGACGGATCCGCGCACGCAGACCCCGGCGCGCTGCTCGGACTCAAGGCCGGTCCTCTCCTCCTCGTCCCCCTTTCGCCGCGGCTCTCTCGGGCGATCGTCTCAAGCCGTTTGATTGGCGTGACCTTGTTTGAGCTTGCAGGTGACCGGCGGTAAACTGACGGATCGCGGCCGTCTGTGCGCGTTCATCACTCAAGTTAAACCGGGAAGTCTGGCGGACGTCGTGGGGCACCTGCGAGCAGGTCCGCCGAGACCGCCTCCTCGTTCCCCGCCCGCTCGGCGACACTCGCTTGCGCTCGCGCGAAAGCGGGTCGAGCGCTTTCCAGCCTCGGCGCGAAACCGGGTTCGCTCCGGCTTCCGGTGACGGCGTTTTGCTGTCGCTGCGGTTTAGGCGATCAGGTTGTGGAATGGAACGGACGCGTCCTACAGGGAGCCACCTTCGACGACGTCTACGACGTCATCTCCGAGTCCAAATCGGAGCCACGGGTGGAGCTGTTGGTGACGCGACCACTCAGGTGAGCTCGCCGTCCGTCTCCACGTCGGAACGCGGCGTCACCCGACTGCGATTGGTGTTTCCAGAGCTGCGGACTCTCGCCATCGCCGGCTGGTCTCCAGTGCGTTGAGCGGCCCGCGAGAGGTTTGATCTGCGCTTCCTGACGGTAGGCGGCGTAACCTTGCCTTTTTCAACAGGTTCCGCTTCCTTTTACTCTCCCGCGAGCCCAAACGCGACGCCGGCGCAGGTCCCGGTAAGTTGACGCGGCGCGCGGCGTCATCTCGTTGCCGGCCGGTCAGCCCAAACAAGTTTGTCGTGGTTTCAGGAGGGGAGGAAGCCCGTTTTGGTTCCCAGACTTCAGGTGAGTGAGACGTCGGCACCTTTTCAGTTGAGCGCGACGCCGCGTTCCAGCGACGCGGAGTCGGCTCCCGTTTCCTTCGTGATCAAAACTTGGAACAGAAAGTCGCGCTTTCAACTCGGTGTCCTGTAGCTCGAGGGCTGTTCCCGCGGCAACTTTGACTGCGGTGTAGCACCGGGGTGGAGGCGCTTCTCTTCAGTCCGCGGCTTTTTACGTGTGAACGCTCCACAAAATAGACACCGGGGTCAGACATAGCGCAACAAAATACATCGGTGCAGCACCGATGCAAATGTTGCCGTGTGAACACCCCTTTAGAAAAAAAAAAGAATAATAATAATCATACTAACCCCGTGACGCCGCTTGGGGCCGTTTGTCCTACAGCGCTTCAACAAAAGATTCTCCAAAACGTTGAAGGAGAAAACGCTTTCAAGTCGTCAATTCACGAAAGACAAAGCGCACTCTGGCAAGATTGGCGTCGCTCCCAACGGCCGCGGGCAAACGCGACAAACCCTTGCCAAGTTTGCGACGTACAAGTCGCGCCTCGACTTGCACGTCGCAAACGATCGCAAACGGTCACTAACGATCGCAAACGGTCGCTAACGATTGCAAACGGTCGCTAACGGTCGCTAACGGTCGCTCCTTTTCCGCACCCGGCCGAGCGAGCCGAGTCAGCAGCCGCGACGTCGAGCGGCGGGATCCGATTTCGGCCTCGTCACGCTTCCGATCGTCATTCGCGAGCTTACCCGCGACCGCGACTCCATGAATTGGCCCCGCTCCGCAGATTGTGGGGGAAGGCTGAAGCGGTCTTGAGCAGAACGCCGCTCATCCTCGTCCGCGCCCTCGCGTTCGTCAAGGCGCCGCCGCGCAAAGACCGCCTTTCTTCCGTCCTTCCCTTCAAGGTGAAGCTGTGCTACGATCAACTCGACGATCAGCTCACGGTCACCGTCCTCGGGGCCAAAGAACTTCCCGCTCGAGCGGACGGCCGGCCCCGGAGCCTTTATGTGGAAATCAACTTGCTTCCTGACAGAAGGTGAGAAGCTCGACCGAGCGGTCCCGACGGCCCGCGGGCGGGCGACGCGCTCGGCGGCCGAGGACGAGACGCTTTTCTCTTCAGCGCGACGAGTAAGCGGAGGACAAAGACCGTGAAGAAGTCGGCGGAACCTCGGTGGAACCAGACCTTCGTGTACTCGCCGCTCCACCGACGGGGCTCCCGGCAGCACGCGCTGGAGTTGACGGTCCGGGACGGGGCCGGCGTCGCCGAGGACGAGAGCGGCTTCCTCGGAGAGGTGAGGACGGCCGAGGCGTCCGCGAGCTCGCCCGTCTCCGCCGCGCCCGAGGACGGCCCGCGTCCTGGCCCCGACGGGTCAAGTCCAAAGCGGGGCGGTGGAGGGGGAGCGCCTGAACCTTCCCCGTGTGGCGGTTGCGGTCCAGGTTGTGATCGGACTGGAGAAGAGCGCCCTGACGGATGACCGGCCGCACTGGTTCAAGCTTCGCGGGAGCGATTTTGCCTCTGCGCCGCGAGTCGCCGCTCGTCGCTCCCCCCGGCGCGCGGCCGGCGCCGGGGGGCTCCATCGTGAGTACGCCTTGGCCGTTTAAGCGGGTTCCTCCGGGTCAGCGACTCACGGCGCGCCGCCGACGGGACTCCGTTTGTATTTCGGCGAGCCGCGCCGCGTGCGATGTTATCGACGCGAAGGCCGCCGACGGGCACGTTGGGATCAAAGTTTGGGCTCCCCCCGGTCCCATGACTTTCTCGCGATTGCCACGCACGATCCTCGACGGCATTCTTTGCAAGTCGGCGAGACGAGGCGGGACGAGGCGAGCGGCGGAAGATGAGGAAGCCTTGAGGGTGCGACGCCGGGGACCCGTGGCGGACGCAACGCAGAAAGCGCGGGGCGTAGGAAATCAGCGGCCGGCGGGACGGGATGTGCGGGAAAGGCGCGGGTTTCCGGTGCGCGCCGCGTCCAAGGGCCGAGCACTGCGGGATCCCGCCCGAGGGAGCTTCTCGGGCGCGGACCCGGTCCGGACCCGCGGGGGGAGGCCACGAAACCTTGCCCACTTTTTTCTCGACTTCTCCGCAGCTTTCCATAGGTTCAGCGACGGAGACCTTTCCGATTATGACGGCGAGGACGGCGTCGGGGTGATATCAGGTGAACTTGGAATCCCGTCGCGCGGGGACGGCGAGGCGTTTGGTGGCGACGCTTCCTCTTTCTCGCCAGACTCCCGGCAGAACGGCCGACGCCCGCGCGGCTCTTCGTCTCGTCCCGGTTGGCGAAGCGACCCGGCGCCGGCGAGGTGCTCGTCGTCCCCGATCCGCAGGTAGCCTTCCCGACGGCCCGGCTCGCCCCCGACCCGTGACTTGAATTTGCGACCCGGCCCGCAGCGTCACCCCGCTTTATCCGCTTTACCGCGACGACGCCGTGCGGCTGCTACGAGGCTCCAAGGTCACCCGAGCTCATTCCGATGTCGGACTCCACGGCAGCCTGGACGAGTAAGGCAGAAACCCAACGTTCGACTTTCTTCCTCGTCTTGTCGCGCGAGAGGTGCTTGTCGCGCGGGCTTAAGTGGCCGACGCGTATTAACCAAGTCCGTGTGTCCAGGAGGTCACCGAGGAGGAGGTCTGGGGCATTTTCTCTTGATTCCAGCGACTGGTACGGAAAAAAAAAAACAAGCCAAAATACCCCACCAAAACTTGAAGGTGAATGTCAACAAGGAGTTGTGCCTCCGTCCCGTGCGTAGTTACTCTGCAAGGTTTTGCGACGCTTCCTGGCCAACCCATAAGGCGAACGGGAGCGTTGAGGACTTCAGGTGATTTTTGGGGCGGTCGTGGCGACGTTCCAACATCCTGAGCTCTTTTTCTGCTCTTCAGCCAAAACTTCACTCCGGACTTCCCTTGGGAAGGAGAACCCTTCGACGAGGACCTGCTCAGGTAAATGAGACCGCTCGTCCCGTCACTGGTCCTCCTTCAATCGGGTGGAGGAGAGGAAAAAACAAAAAAGGACGTGTCACGTTGGCGTGGTGGTGGTGGACCCCAAAAAGCAGGCGGGAGGGAGGAGCAGCGTGGACTTGAAAGATTGGATGAAAACTCAGAAAAGGCAATCCAAAACAAACCAAGTCCAAAGTAGCAAACAAAACGCACGACTGAAGATAAAACCCAACAATGAGCAAAAGCTGACCCAAACAAACACGACGGCAGCCAACAAACTGCAACAAAGACCCGACAAAGAGGGCTCGGGCCGGGAGGCCCTTTAAAGCACCAATGACATCATGACCAACAGCCGCGGGGAGAGCCCGACAGCGCCGCCCGCTGGTCCCAAACCGAAACGCGACAGGATGAAAGTGGAAAGCGGTGGCGAATAGATGGGCTCGGTTCTCAGCGGCGCATCCGTCGCGAGCGTCGCCGCGCGAGCCGCGGCGAGACGAAGCCTTCCGGGGTCGGTCTCACTGTGCTCCTCCGACAGAGGGGGGCGGCGTGACGGCCGGCTCCCCGCGAGTCCCGTCGGAAGCCCCGAGTGCGGCCGCCGAGGACGCCGGCTGCCCGCCGTCCCGCCCAAAGGCGCACCGGACACACGTAAGCGAGGCCGCGGGCCGAGCGCTCGCGTCCACGGAGGTGTCCGCCGCTCACTCGTGCGCGCCGCGACGGGGTCGTGCTTTCTTCTCCTTCTTCTTCTTCTTCTTCTTCTTCTTGCCTGCGCACAACTCAACGCGCACGCGCGGCCCGGCGTCTCGCTCTCGGTTGCGGGAGGGGGGGGGGGGGGCTTTGGAAGAGACTTTGCTCAACCTTTGTTCTTCTCTCATCCTGCTTTGCGTCAGTTTGGGCCACGGCGAGCAAAGGGGCGGCAAGTGGAATTGGCGCTCCCCCCACTCCTCTCTCGCCTCCCCCCTCGCACAGACAGGCTCCTCCCACTGGCAACCAACAATGCCCTCCGCTCATTAGAATCCAAGCTCCACCTCCCACGGTAGCGCCGCACTTGCACCCCCCGACTTGGACCATTGAGGCGGGCCACCGCCAAGCCGCGCGCTCCCCTCCTCCCCCGCCAAAGCCGGCTCCTCCGCCCAACGCCCCCCAATCTCCTCAAGCTCCTCCCCCACCGTCGCCAACTGTTCATGCAGCCCCTCCCCCCAGCACCCCTGAACCTCCTCAAGCTCCTCCCCCACCCTCGTCAACTGTTCATCCAGCCCCTCCCCCCAACGCCCCCGAATCTCCTCAAGCTCCTCCCCCGCCCTCGTCAACTATTCATGCGGCCCCTCCCGCGACAACCCCTCATCAAGAGCCTCCCCCGGCCCCCTCCGCTCGTCCTGGAGCCCCAGCTCCCTTAGCGGCGAGCGGCTCTCCGGCTCCGCCCCCTCAGACTCCAGGTACGTGTGAAATGAGCGTTCACCGTCGCGCTCGCTGACCGCTGCGTTTGCTTACGTCGCTCTTACGTCACCGCATCCTGTCACACGGCGACACGCGTCAGAGGCGGAGAGACGTTCCGCCACGCCCGGAGGGAGCAGGAAAGGTCAGTGCTCGGCGACCGCGCCGTCACGCGGCCTCGCCGGCGAAGCCCGCCGTCCAGCTTTTGCCCTTTGTCGTTCTCATGCTGCGGCTCAGAGGTCACGTGGGAGGACCAGCGGAGCGAGGCGGCAAACGGTACGCGGGCGTCTTCAGCGTGGACACTTGCACAAATAAATCCAAGAAATAAACCGCGCGAAGCCTTTGAAAGGTCGCTCGTCAAAAGTCCCGACATTCAGATGAGGAGGGCATCCCCCGCGGCGAGCAACTTGCGCAAGAGCTATTCACAATCAGGAGTCAGTCAATCGGTGCGATGAGATCGGCGGCGTCCTGCCTGATAAAAACACAAAAGCCCAATTCACTCTTGCTTGGGTCGTCTATTCTCAGGACCCTCGAGACCTCCCGTTGGAATTGCGGCTATCGGTCGAGTAAGGAGACCCCATGTGTCTTCTCGTGGCGTTTAGGAGCACTTCCTGCCAAAGCGGGAGCTCGGCCTCCTTTTTTGGAGCCGCTCGACCGAGCCGTCGTCGTCGTCGCGGCCAAGTAGCAGCAGCACGCCGTCGCAGGTGACGTGACTGCCGTTGTCCCCGCAGGTGCGCTGAAGCATCCGGAAAAGGTGAGCGAGCGCGCGGCGCGGACGACGTGGCCGACAGAGATGCCGTTGACCTAAGGCGCGACCGCCGCGCAGATGCGGGACGGCCTGTCGTCGAAGTCGTCCCTCAGCAACTTGAGCGACTCGTCCGCCGGCTCTGTCGTCCTCGACGACCCTCCGGGGGTCAGGTGAGCGCCTCGTCGCCGCCGCCGGGGGGCGTCGCGCTCCCGGCGCACCTTCTCAAAGTCTCCTCCCGCTGGCGGGCGCAGTCAGGCGGACGCTCCGCGGGATCCGTCGGAGGACTCCGGGACGGGACGGGCGGAAAAGGCCGCCCTTCGGACCGACGGATCGATGGAGGAAGGAGAGGAGGAAGAGCCCGAGTCGGCCAAGTAAGCGACGGCGAGGGACCGGGTCCGTCCAAATCGAGATCGTGGCGTCTCACCTCGAATGGGCGACCCGTGCTGAAAAAAAGCAACTGTGCGAGAGCCTTCCCAAAGGTTCCCGCCGCGATGGGACAAACTCAGCGGAGGCTTCGGTTCAGTTCGTGCCGCGCAATCGCTCAGCGCGGCACTTTGGCCGACTTTTTTCCCAACGACCCTCTCGAGAGCCGAAAGCGGCATTTTCCTCGGGCGGAGCCGCCGTCCTGCTCTCGAAAGCTCACCGTTTGATTTGACCGCGGTATTCATCTCGCCGCGCGACATGCCGCTTCACTCAAGTGACAGCATTAGGAACGTGACACTGCCGCCCCAAAGTCTTTGCTTCGCTTTAGCGGGCGAGTCAGAAACACGGGCGCGCTCCCGACGGAGGCAACCGGTCGCCGAGCGCTATTTTGGGACGAGGGAGAGCGCCGCGGACGCTACGATGGCCACAAGTGAGCGCGAGGAACAAAATGGCATTTGAAGAAGAACGGCTCAGTTGGAAGCCAAACAAGAGCACGACGACACCGAGGATTTTCTTTTTGGTTTTTTTATATCGTGATTTGACTAGAAGTTAGAAGGTGCTTTTTTTTTTGCCGAGTAATTGGCCAGAGGTTGCCGACCGCAGCCATCGGGCCAAAGCGGTTTGGACCTCCCTCCCTCTCTGAGCGCATGACATTGCGATTTGGAAACTCCGACGACATTGACCCAAAATGGGTCGGATTTTCCAAAACAACCGAGCGTGATCAACACGGCCAAAAACGTCAACTCAGGTCGGCGGCAATGACTTTTTCTCAGCACGGTATGTTACGGGGGTGGGGGCTCCCCGCTCGATTCGGGCACGTCTCATGCGGCTCGAAATTTAAGTTCGCCGTCGGACGCCCCGCAGGTCGATCGCCGCGCCGGCCGCCAAGTCCGCCGGCGTGGGCGGCGACATTTGTTCTTTGAGCCGCAACGACGACGACGACGACGACAAGAAGCGGCGATCCAGTTTGGGCGCTCGGGTGATGGGAATGGTCGGACTGGGAAAGAAGAGCCAAAGCGCCGCGCAACTCAACCCGGAAGGTGGGTCCCGTCAGACCCCGGGAGAAGGGAGGAGAAGGCCGAGCTCCACACCGCTGCCGTCTTTTCTCCTCTTCAGAGGAAGAGAAGAAGAAGAAGGCGGTGAGACTTCCCGTCCAGAGGAGCGTGGAAACCGGACTGGCCGTGGAGTTCAAGTCTCGCTTCACCCGACAGCCCAGCCGCGATCCCGACGCCGAGGACCCCAAGCCCGGCGCGTACGAGCGGGCCCGGGGGCGGCGCGGCGCCCTTCCCGCACGTTTCCTCTCACGTCGCCGTTCGCCTTTCAGGTTGATCTTCCCGGGAGTCAAGCTGGCCGCGGACCGACACTTCACCGGTTTCCTCGACGGCTTAGGTCCCGCCCAGCTGGCCGGGAGGCAGACCTTGGCCACGCCTCCCATGGGTAGCGACCGATCGCAAAATGTCCGACGAACCCCCCGGTCGGAACCCCGTCCGTTGAACGCGAGTGTGCGGCTCCGTCGCTCAGGAGACATCCAGATCGGAATGGTCTACAGGAAGGAGCGCCTCGACGTGGAGGTGATCCGGGCCAGGGGGCTGGTGGGGAAACAAGGAAACAAGAACACGCCGGGTAAGTCCCAGAGCGGGGGAGGGGCCGGGGGGGACCGTCCGTGAATATCGGGCGAGCTCGTTGAGGCCGGAAGACGGTTCTTGAGAGCTCCGCTTCCAATCGGTGACGAGCCGCTCTGCGGCGGCCCAGCCGCATATGTGAAGGTCTACCTGATGGATAACGGCAAATGTTTGTTGAAGCGAAGAACCCGCCTGGCCAGGAAAACGCTGGATCCTCTCTACCAACAACAGCTGCAGTTTGAAGAGAATCCGGAAGGGAAAGTTCTGCAGGTGAGGCGCCGCCGCCGCACGCGCGCCGCCGCACGCGCGCCGTTTGCCGCCGGACTAACGCGGGCCCAACGCTCAGATCGTGGTGTGGGGCGATTACGGCAAGATGGACCACAAATCCTTCATGGGCGCCGCTCAGGTTCTACTGGATGACTTGGACCTGTCCGGCATGGTGATTGGCTGGTTTAAACTGTTTCCGGCCACCTCCCTGGTGGACCCCGCTCTGGCCCCGCTGACCAATAAAGAGACGGAGGGCGGGAGCGCGCCGTAGGGCAAAGCAACCGGGCGGGGGGGCCGATGCCGATCGCCCGCGGTCGTTGCCCGTTCCGGGGGACTGGGAAGGATCCGTCGGTGATCTTCCCGGACAGTCGCGGCCGCTCGCTCCCTCACGTGACCTCACGCCCGCGTCGACGGCCCGGGACCACCGCGGCTGAGGATGAGCCAGCTCGCTAAAGGGCAGCAAACAAGTCACAAAAACGGGCGGAGCAAGGACAGAAGTGTTGTCGCATCAAGTTGATCTCAGGAAATAAAGATGGGCAATGTTCTCAAGTCTGGAGGCTCTTTGATTTTCTGGAAGCGACGAACGCCACTTGATTCATTCGAGATGGTTTCATTGGATAATTGATCCGCCTTTGGGGTCCATCCAGCCTCTTTAGCGGCCGCCGATGGTCTTCCTCACTCTGTCCCTCATCTTCTGCTCCAACTGGGGCCAGCGGCAAGTCTGTCGGCAAATCCGGCATCCTTCGACCATCCCCCCCCTTCCTCCCACCCTAGGCCTCCCTCTTAGAACGTTTTTGTCTTGAACGGAGTTCCAACCTTTTGGTCTTCACGCACCTTCCTGAACAATAAATGCGAACAAAGGAGGGATTTCAAAGTTTAATAATGCCGTTGGGAAAATCGAAGGGAAAAAAAACAAACATCAACCGATCGTGCGGGCCAAAGAACATCACAATTTGAATAACGCTAACAATAAATAAGAGCGGGTACCAAAATCGGGAACGCAAAAAAAAAAAAAGACATCGAGGAACTTCTACTACGGCAACATTTCCCTCACGTCTTGTCGCCAAACCACGTCGGTTGGGTTGGAGTCCCCACCGTTGACAATTTGGGGAGATGAGAGCATCAGTTTGATTTGGCACCGAGCCGCAAACGTCTGGCTCTTGCTGTGAGGGTCCCCGGAGAACGACGGAAATATCACAGGTCACACGGATCCGTTTCCGGCGGAGGAACAAATGCGGAAAAGGAAGTGATCAGCATGAGGCCCGAGACAAAGGAAGCGGGTCTGCGGGTCCGCGGGGCCGCCATGTCGTTGTCGGTCACAAGGGATCGCGTCTCCGCCGCTAGCGATGTTAGCGCGGCGAGGCCAACGCAAGCCGTCGCGCTCGCGCTCGTACCTTTGGACCGTTGGTAGGTCAGCCCGCCCTCCGTGGCTTGTTAGCATAGCTGAAGCAGCTCATCGTCGCTGCTCTCCATCTTGCCCCCGACCTCCAGGCACGTGTCCGGGACCCGGGCGGTGTGAACTTTGCCGCAGCGTTCGCAAGGTCCGTCCCAGCCGGCCCGCGCGGAGCTCGCGCCGTGCCGTCGCGTCTTCTGAGCAAGGTCGTCGAACGACGGGGACGATTCCGGGATTAAAAGTTCCACGTCTTCGTCTTCGTCTCCGCTCCTCGGCCGCTCGGTCGGCTCCGCCCCGCCCCCCGCCGCGTCCGGCCGGCGTAGCGGACTGCGACCGGTCCGAGTCCGGTCGGGCCAGACGAGACCCGGCGTCATCAGGTTCCTGGCCAAGCGGTGCAGATTTTGGGTCAGGCGGCGCAGAGCGGAGGCGGGCGGGGTCGGGAACCGGGAGGCGTCGCCGTGACACTCGGCGCCCGGCTCGGCGCTCTCCGCCGCGACCGGTCCGGCGGCGGGC